TTTTTTAGCCAAAAAAAAATTTAAACATGTTAAAAATATCATTTAGACTTGTAAAAATAAGGCATTTTAATCAAAAATATTCTGAAGTAAATTTTGGCACAATTTTGTAAATCTTTCAACTAACCTTTTTACAACTCATGTATAAAAATGTGTTTGAACAAAGTTTATATATTAAAACCACTTCAAACAAGTCTAAAATGATTAAATAGATATGGTAAAAGCACAAATACTCAATAAATCCATATATTTCAATTTTTCAATGGTCTAAACCTCATTTATGCAATGAATAATTTCAAAAACACTCTTAAAATGTAAAACCTTTAGGACATTCTTTCAAATAGCATTAAAAACAACCTTGTAAACATTTCTTATATAATAAAACTTGTTAAAATCATAAAACATGTGTAATATGAACAAATTTTCTAAGCAAGTTTTTTAGGCCTCATACTATTCAAGTATCAATATATACCATACAAAATATAGTAAAGCCATAAAAATCATATTCATCAAGCTAAACTAATTCAATCAAATTTATTTATACAAAACATAGTAGGATAAACTCTTCAAAACTTGACATATCAAAGATTTTGATTTTTGACACTTTAAAAGCCATTTTTACTTTAAAAAAAAAACCTTAATAAATCTTAAAACCAGTCAAACTCATTTTTAACCATTTTGAACTATTCTAACAAATATCATATGATAAAACAAAGTTGTTAAAGTGATCTTTTGGTCTTAGAAACAAAGAAATAAAAAAAAAATCAACTTTTAAGCCTCATATTTCCTTGAAAAATACTATTAAGATGGCCATATATGTTTAAGGTATATTTTAAACTCTTTAAACCATTTATAAAAGTTTTTTTATCATAATTTGAAATTGTCCTAATAATTTTTATGTCGATATATGCTCAAAAATAAGATTTGATCTTTTAAGCTTTAAAAGTTTTTGAAAACTTATATTTAACACTACAAAAATAAAAAACATTTCAAGTTAATCAAGTTTCTTTATTTGATTAAGTTTAAAACATTGAACTAAGATATTCAAATTTATTTTGCACTTAAAAACTTGCTAAAATAAAATTTCTCATTTTATGTTTGACTTATGCAAAAATTTATTTCAGACTAAAACTTGAGATTTCAAAAATCAATAAGTTTCGTGTGCACCCTCTAAATTTGTACATAGATATAATTTAATCAAACAAGTATCAAGCTCACTTACACCAATGTCAAACAAACACCATTAATATTAAAAATTTAAGTGTAGTGTCATGCTTATGGTAATTTTCACAAATTGTAGTATCAGTTTTTCAAGAATCAAGTAAGCACCAATAACAATTTCAAAAAGCATGCATGATATCATCAATATTGAACACTCACAAACAAAATTATTTTTAAGCATATTTTCCCAAAATTAAAGCATAAATATAATCAACAATGTACAAAATCAATTTTACCAACCACGAGAATATATTTATATCAAAATCATCAAGCACTCAAGATCAAAAGCAATAACATGTCCAATTTAGTCTCATACTTTCTCAAGATTATGCAATTTATAACATGTTTAACATATAATCAATTTTGCATAATCAATATAAAGCATATATCAATAATAAGAAATTAAACACTAAAAATTCAACCTAGAATAGGTAACCAAAATTTAAATTCACTTCAAATAAAAGTTTGGCTTAAAGGTTACTCATCTTCCATTCACATAACTCATAATATTCAATTTTGAGAGTTTTGAAAATTTTCTGACCATCTTGGAAACCATATTAAGGCAAAAGTTCTTTTATTTAAAATTGTTAGACCTACAAAAATAGAGTCCAAACTCTTATACAAATTGTTACCTCATTTTTAGATAACAATCCAATATGTGGTGAATTGAATTGTCTCCAAATTTTTTCCTAAAAATAAATTTTCAAATAAATGTAAATGGACAACTAAAAATATAAAGATATATAAAAAAAAGCACAAACAAACAACAATGAAAAATAAAAAGAGTGGAGCAAAAAGATCAAATACAAAGATTTACAAAGGTTCGATCTTTCTTTAAAAACACCTACATTATTTCTCTTAGCTTCTCTAAATAAGAATCCAAATTTACTAATTCTTAAAAATTCTTACAAAGTACCTTTTTAAGGCTAAAATACAACCTCTCACTTCCTACCTTTCTAGGGTAATATAGCAACCTCTAATTCTCTACATTTCTAGGCTAAGGTAGCAACCTCTAATCACTCAAAATAAGTTTTTACAAAATATCTCAAAATTATTTAAGAGAATACATCATCTCTTGATTACAATTAAACTCTAATGTTTTGCAAACTAAAATCACCTCTCAAAAGTTTAGCATTTGGTTAATAAAGTACAAATGAGAAACTAAATGATTTAGATACAACATATACAAAGAATATGGAGTTTAAGGTCTAAACTCTTTGTTGCTCTTGATTTTCTTGGATAATTTTGAAAATATGGCTTTATGAACTTTCTCCCACCCACATCTCTCTCTTCTTAATGAGCGTTGGAAGACCTCCTTATATAAATGAATTGGAGCCGTTGAGATTGAGTTGGAGAAGAAAAGAGTCGTTATTTCCTTTAAAATCTAACCGTTGAGGGCTATCAAGGGTGAAAAGATCAATTGGCACATTAATGAATCAATTGGATATTGAATTTCATTCAAATTTTGACTGTTGCAAGATAATAAATCGGTCCATTTTGATAATGAATCATTAGTCAACCTGGTTTTGCATTCAAGGTGATTTTAAATGAACAATGTCGTTGGCTGCCTTAGATTAAATCCTATTTTGCACTCTATTCACTAATTTGATCATATTTTGAGTTATACAACTCTAAATTAAGATCTGTTTGAATATTAGAAGCTAAACTTAAGAGATTTTTATCTATGTAAAATTTAACATCTAATCCAATGTATAAAAATTATAAAGAATTTATTAATGCATCCCTTGTACAATTGTTAGACAATCTGTAGTCTCTAATAAAATTCAAAATCTTTTCTTAAAAAATTTAGATTTTAATTTTGTTTGATCTATTAAAAAATAGACTAAAAAAACTTTACATTCATATAAAATTTAAATATTAAAACTTTGTAAATGATGCAGAGAAATAAAACAAATTTAATGTTGAAAGACCTTGTTCTTACAAAACATTTTTTGGTAGTTAATTCATTTATCAAATAAATAATTTTTAAAGATAGTTTTGGTTTGAGAGATACAAAAACACAAAAAAGGTTTTAAGCTTTATAGAAACATTTTGCAAATTAAATAATATTTTGGAAGACATAATATTTATTTAGTATAAAAAATAATATATCATAAGAATTATATACTAAATAAATCTTTTCAAAATCTATAACCTTTTTTCCAAAATATATTTTATTTCAAATATCACTAGTATTTATTTAGTACTATAAGTAATACAATTTAAGAACATACACTAAATAATTTTTTTAAAAAATCTTAATTAAGTTTATTTAACTTAATATTTTATCATTTAAAATAAAAATTAATTTAAGACTAACAATAGTGCTAAGATATAAATTTTTTAAAGAAATTGTTATTTGGCTATAATTGTGTGGAATGAGATAAGACTTAAATAAAAGGAAGGTTGAGTATACAGGCTTATTTGGTTCCAGTATCATATTTTAGAACACTTATTGATTGTTTGAATGACTATTTTAAATAGGCTTACAACCATAAGCAGGTTGTGAGCATGGGAATTGAGGTTGACGAAGAATGTCGTTTATGTCCATAGGGAAGAGAATTCTTGAATCATGTGTGCTTTGGTTGAGATTACAAACACAGTTTGACGAAGGATTCTATAGTTATGCAAGATTGAGAGAAGAGGAAGGAATTGGGCAATAGAATTTGCAATGGGCTGGCTGGGAACAAGTGCAAAAGGAGAGCATTCATTTCAATTATCTTGCGCTGGAATGTTTGCATTTATCATATATAGAGAGAAAGAAAGTGTCGTTTATTTTAAAATGAAAAAAGACGACGGGAACAAATACTTGAATGGATTAAAGGTACTGTTAAGACTCGATTATATTATTTGGGTCCGGTTGTTGCTGACTCAGTTAAAGACTTACGTGTTGTATGAAATCTTAATATTGCTGTTCTGAATAACTATAAGCATTGATATTATTTGATGGTCGTAATATTTTTGTATCTGTATTGTAATAAAATTCTGTTATTGTTGGATAAATAAAATTATAATATATTCATAAAAATAAATAACTAAAAATATTAACCAAACATATAATTATAATAATCAATCAATTCAAAACATTCGACTATAATAATTAATTAATTATTTGACGTATAATATATTGCACGTTCAAATATAAAAACAAGAATTAATTTTAGAACGTTGAAAAAAAAAAATTTAGAGAAGGAAACATATGGATACATTCGGTGGGCAAAGGTTTTTCTGAAAAATCCTAACCAAGAAAGGGTTTAGGCTTGAATGTTGATCGATGGGTACCTTTTGTTTTATTTTTAGATTATAATTTACAAACAAAAATGAAGAATTACAATATCCAAAAAGAAAATTACTAAAATAGATGTTTAATTTGAAAAAATTTATGTATTTTTTAAAAATTTTATTATTAAAAATTTGATTTTAAAATAATTTAATTTCGAAAAATTTTTTTTTAATAATATTTAAAATTTTGAAATAAAAAATCTGTTTCTTATGATATTTTAAAATTTTAAAACAAATTATATTATTTTTAAATTTAATTTAAATAAAAAATTATTAAAAAAATCGTTATTATTATGAAAAATATCTCTAAAATTAAGACGATTAATTCATTAAATAGAAAAAGGAAAAAAAAGGCAAAACGTCAATCAGATACAGAAAACGTGTCAATGAAGCATCAATCAAATCATACGTCAGAGTCCTCACATAATTTGACAACACAAAGCTATATTTAATGGTTTGTTAAAAAATTACATCAATAAATTAAAAAAAAAAACTACAGTCTACAATTTATTTTTTTCTTTTTTTTTTTGTTCTTCTTAGTAGCCCTAGATTTCTCTGGAAACACTCAGAAATTTCTTCTTTCCTCGCTTAAATATCACTTCTCTAACCCTATCATCTTTGCTAGTTCTAAGTTTAAGGCTTCAATACACAATAATATTGTCCTTTTTGTTGAAAGAGAAAGGGAAAAAAATGGGTTTGAGTGGTAAGTTGAAAAGAAAGGACATCGACCAAGTTAACGATGATTTCTCGGATTTCTCGCTGTCGTCGCCGGCCACCAAGATCCGGCGTTTGGATGCGGATTTACCCCCCATAATAGAGGAAGAAGAGTCCTTTCCTGAGAATCAAGAAAGAGCCATCGTTCTCTTTAGCCCACCGCCTCTCTTGCGTTCCCCTTCCACAATCTCAATTTCTCTCACTTCTGAACTCATCTCTGGCTTTAAGAGTAAGTATCTTATTCCTGATTTAATTTTTTTTGTTTTCCCCTCATATATCATTCATTGCTCTACTCTGTTTTGATAGCATATGAAGATTTACTAGCTCTGATTTTAGCCTTTGAAATGATGTGCAGACCAATATCTACAGGCAAGTGACATGCAATTAGCTGATTTTGAAGAAGCCGAAACTGAAGAGAGCAAGAAGGGGACGGAAGGATGTCTAGCGGTTGTTCCATGGGTTCCTTCTCAGATTCCTTCAGTAGAAAATAGAGATGGTGAGGTGGAAGTTGCAGAGTCAATGGAAATGGATGTAGAAGAAAACAATAGCGGCGACAGCGCAAGGATGGAGCAAGGGCATGGATATGAATTTGGAGGCTTTAATACAAGCGAGGGTCTCCATCACTGGCCGCAGCAGCATTGCATGATACCTCAGCTTCCGCAAAACCCTTTCACTCCAATCACATGGTCTCAATGACAACTTATAGCGGGAGAATGGAAGTGTTTATATTTTTGTTTGTCCGGTCCGGTGTAGGATCCAAGGAATATAGAGAAAGCAAGTAAGAGGTGTAACTGAAGGGGGCAATGTGGGAATGTGGCTCCCTTTTTTGTTTGGCTGCAGAAGAGCAACCCAAAATTATGGGAGGGGGTATTCACTGGTTGTAATTTTGATGTAGCTAGTGGAAAATGGAAATCCTTCCTGTACCAAATGGAAGGTGCTATGATCTATCTTCTAGTATGATTTAATGGTTAAAAGTGGTACTTGATGCAAAGCTGTGTGTTTCTTTTTAAACTATAATTATAATCAAGTATTATTACATACGTATCAAATTGCATAACTTATAAGATATCAAATAAAATTTGGGATCTTGAAATTTTATGACATTTTCTGTTCTCAAACTAAGCCAATACGTTCTGTTCTCAAACTAAACCAAGACGGTACTGGTAGGCTAACAGCTGTGTGCTAATTTTTTTACAGAATCAAATTAAGTTTTATATTTTATAATTTTAACATTGCTAATATGAGAATATATATATTATATTAAATCACAATTTTAAATTATTTTACATTACTCATTTCTATAAAAAATAATCTTATCAATCTAAGATAAATTAATCAGTATTTACATTGTTTATGGTAGCAAACAAAATTATTAAATATTCAGAAAAATGAATAAAAATAGTAAGAAAAGATAATAAAAAGCTGTTGGCATGGAAGTTACTGGTATGTCATGTCTTCTTCTCTTCCTGTCTATATTTTCTATACACCGTCTTCAACAAGCATCTGCATGAATGAGGTTAAGGCTGCAAGAAGAGCTCTACCAAACTTGCTATCTAAAATAAAACCTGTATGGGCCTAGTCTCCTGAAACATAAGTCTTCTCTTCATAGTATTTCTTTTCACTCTGTGCCTTCTTGGCATTACGTTTCCACATTCAACATCAGCACCAAAATTAGAGGAATTCAGACAACTTGATATATATTTGCATACTCACACAGATAATGTGTTAAACAAAAGAAATAGGCAAATGAAGAAGACAACACCCCTTGTTCAGGTTATTAGTAAGAAATTTTGATATGCAAATCAGATTCATAACAACAAAAAAATTTCTGATCCCTATTCTAATTGAAAGCGATCAGCCGATTTTGATCTAATAGAAATTTATGAGCACACTCCTTTGATGCACGTGCCATGCAAAAAGTTTCAACAATATCCCTAGCTATATATAATCTAGAAACGTCGAAGTCAAAGGAGGCAAAAACTTACCCAACATAAAAGTCCCCTATCCGATTTGGATCCAGACCTGACCAATTCGATTTGACTAAAAAAATCAACACCACAAACCAATCCAACTCGTATTCAAATTCATCGAACCTAAATTGATTCAAACTTGAATTGATCCAAATCCAAATTAATTCGAATACGAAATAATTTAACTCTAAATGATCTGAAATGAAAGGATTCAAAATTAAATTGAGCATAATTTTACTTTTTAATTGTACTCCTTTTTACATAATTGTCCTCGTAAGTGATGACTCCAGTGGTGAGTTTTCTTGAAATTATGTACTTATTTAGTGCATGAGATATTAAAAATAATATTAAATATCAATCAATAAAAAATCATTAATAATTTTTAATCATAAACAAAGTTAATTATATATTTAATGTAACTTAATTTTATATTATTGGCAAATAATTTTTAAATCATTTAACTTTGACATTTTAAGTTTTATATAATTTAATTATATTTATTTGATTTTAAAAATTAACAAATTGAACATGAATACCCTGAGTTTTAAACTTGAATAATTCGAGGTTCAAACTCGAATAATCCGAAAACGAAACAACCCTAGACCGAAATGACCCAAACTTGAAATGAACTGAACCCAAAATGATCTGAACTCAAATTGACCCGACCTAAAATGACTCAAACCAAAAATGAATCAATTTTTCCTTGACACAAAATGACCAAACCCCGCCCGTTTGCCGCCTCTAGCCCTCTAGTCTCAGCTAATAACATCCATAAAGCAAGTGTCTAGCAAATAATGTTGTTCCAAGAGAAGGTGAACAACTGCTAATCAACTTGCATTTCTAGTTATCTAAGAGATCGTAAAATAATAATAAATGTGAACCCTTAAAAAATTCAAGCAGTCAGTGTAAGTAATACCATGTAAGCCTCATGATTGGCAACTATCCTTTGGGTTACTGAACTTGTGGTTATACTTTTAGGGCTTTCAAGCAACTGAAAAATTCCCATGCTCTTAGGAACTGCAAAGGAATCAGTTTCACCCTGTAGGAAGCAAAATTAGCAATTTTTTAAAATCCATAGATACGGGGGTTCATACCCATAACGGTGAAATAAGCCTGAGAGAAGTCTGAAAACTTACAGACAAGAAAGAGTTACTCTCTGCAACTGTCCCATGCACAACCAAAGAAATGTTGAAAGTTGTAATCTGTTCAAATGAAGAATGTAGCATGACACCTTTTTCCCATTTTAAAGAGTTAGAAACTATAAAACAGTAGTTTGTTACTATAATGCAAATTGTCAATAGCATAACCGTAGAGAGTACAGCAATGCACAATGAGTTGACAACAAATTGAAAATAAGAGTTTTTTTTTTACAAAAAAAAAAACGGTACTCTAGTATGTTTAGGGGAGGGGGTGCAATTTGCTACACCATCCCTTGGCCACAGAAACTAGAAACACCTAAATCATTAAGTGGTATAGTACAAGTATTTAATGGATGGGCATGCCTTGGAATATAAGCTGGTAATAAGCCATGGATTTAGCAAAAGGCTACTCTTAAACCAACAAGAATTATCACAATTTTAATTTTTGGTTTCTAACATATTAGATTCATTCTTTTGTACAGATTCAATAAAATGGATCATGAAAATTACGAATAGAAGAAATTAAATATCAGGAAAAGACTTATTTCAGCTGATCAAACCATCATCCCTTCCTTTTTCTCACTTCAAATGCCTAAATCATCATCACAATTAAGTCATACTAAAATTCTCACTGTGAAGAGACCATAGCCACTCGCACACATTTGTTCCAGCACCAAACAAGGGAAATGCACTCTTATGCACAGAAATATAAATTCATATCTACTTTATGGCAATATAAACTTAGAGAAAAGAAAATTACACACCATGTCTTTTGTAACTTCCAAAGGTGCACCAATGATAACTTCATTGACGTAACGGCAAGGTAACATGCTAAGACTATGCTCGTGTAGATGCATAACTGGGTAGGGCATCCCCCTGTGCTCACTGCACGAAAAGAAGACTCATAAGTTATTTCTTACATAGAAACCCTTTATTGATATAAGCAGATGTAGAGGTATATACCTAAAGTTAACTTTCAACCTTCCAAACTCAAGTGTTCCAATAAAATTAGCGGGTAATAAACCAGCCAGTAGAAAAACCAAGCATAATAAAGGAAGTACCTCACAATATGGTCAGTATGGATACCAACTAGCAAAAAGTCTCCAAGCTGCCTTGCCTTCTTGAGGATCTGAGTAAACATAAAAGATGGCTTTAGGACATGGACAAAATGGAATCAGTTGCAAAAGTTCTTTTATCCTAGAAAAAGCAAAATCCATTTAACATAGATCAGTAGAACACAAACTATCTCTAATTACTTTCAGCATTTCAAGTTTATGATGGAATTCCCTCTCTCTCTTTCAGACAATCCCTCTTCCCAAACCCCCTCCCCACCCCCCCAACAACCACCCATAAAAAACACAATTTCTTCTCTTCTCCCAACAAACAGAAATAATAACCCCCATGCATTTGATATTCTTAACTTATTCAGTCAGTTCTTATTCATACATTAGCTGCATGCACTATGGTCCTTCCTTACTCCAATCTTTTTGCTTTCTCCCTTTTCCAGTGGTTAGTCCACAAACTCTTACCGCACATTTCTAGCAGTTACCTCACTAGCCCAACTTTTTATTCCAGTTTCGGTTTTCTATTTTGATCCTCAAGGATCAGACAATGCAATCATAGAACTTTCCAAGAAATATGGTCCATGACCTACATTGGTTTTGGGCAAGAATGGTGGTTTCAGTTCCTGTACAACTTCCTTAACACTAAATGTTGTCATTGCTAATTAACCAGTGAGCATATGAGCACATTTTCTAATTTTAATTATGAAAATAATATCAGCTAATTGATGGAGGAGACATCATATCACTTTCAGATTGAGGGATACAGCCCTTATAAATGAGGATACATCAATCTTTGCCCAAAGGATCAATCAGAGGATGTTGCCTTCCAGATTGGCATGTTATTGATTGAGCAAATAATTCTCAATTACATAGTGTAATTCAATGATACAACAAAAGATATTAGAATGGTGTCAAATTGGGATGAGTTAGTTGCTTGATAGATAGGTGGAAAACTACAACACTTCAACAAAGCAAATGGGCTTTCTGATAGTAATCTGCCGGTTGATAAAACAAATGAAGTACACTCCATTGTTTTCTAATTATACCTACCATAAATCTTATATATACCATGCTACTTCACTCCATTGTTGGGTGCCCTAAAACAAATGAATAAAGTACAGAATTTAGCAGCAGGGAGTAGATCTCTCTCTATATGCAGACTGAAACTGTATATTTAACAAATGCAATTTTGGAACTTCTGGCATTCAACTTAGTAATTAATCCCCCCACTCCCCCACCCCCGCAGTCTCCTCTAACTTAAATATGCCTTTGAATAACATAATAGTGCCAACATAAATTATTAAATAGGTTGAGCTGCATTAACAGTCTAAACTTCTTTACACACTTTGTCTGTTCACTCTAGTTTAAAATTTGCTAGAAAAAGTGCATATCTATAGGGTCCTCATTACAGGATAGGCATCCTAAAATTTAATTATCTTCCAGATTTAAGTTTCCTAAGGGCTACTAAAACAGCACCACACATCAACAGTATCAGCTAGCTACTTAGTTTATATGTGTATATGCCAATAGCCAAGCCAGTTAACAGTAAGCTATGCTCAAGAATTGCAGCGATATGTACATTTAAAGTGGCTATAATGAGACAGTAGTTGTTGAAGAATGCCTATCTTACAGCAATGCTAGAATAACAAAACTTGGGTTTGATGTAGAGCAATCACCAAATTGTCAATATGTTACAAATTTATGCTATCATAATAACATAACCAACAAGAAAATCAGTTGTGAGAGTAAATATCAAAGGGATAGCAATACCTCCACGTGCCCTGCATGAAAGAGATTGAATGCCCCATCAATATACACAATGCAAGCATTTTGTCCAGGTCCCTAAGGAAAAATTGAATGAGACTGA